GTGGGGGGCGGGGCTAAATTTAAATGAGATAAAGCTGCCCAAATGTCTGCAGAGAGTAACAGCAGGTCACAGTCAAACACTGTCAGAATGAGCATGTGCACTGGTGGTAACCACAGTGCTCTCTGTGAAGGGCAATGCCCTGCGTGGCCAGGGCACCTCGATAGCAACAGGAGAGGTAACTTCTCTTCTGGAAGCCAAGCAGACAAATATTTCCCAAAGCATGCCACTCTGTGGGGAGAGCACTCAGCCAGCTCCCTCTGGCTGCGCTCTGGTTAGCAATGATGTTTTGGTGGGGCTGAGTATCTGCACTGCACTTGCTACCAAACTGAAGATTGAGTTAGCACCCATAAAGGAAAAGCCTCATCACTCTAAGGCAAATGTATTTCCCCATGCTCTTCTCTGCTGCTCTGGGGCATGTTGATATATATTTACCAAGCATAACCACCAAGAACTGTCCTTAAAGAAAATCTCTCTGGGCTTCTCCTCTCCTCCCTCTCAGAACTATGTAAGGACTTAAAACAGGAGTGTTGCTTTCTCTTGGCTTACAGGGAACATGTTTTGTGGGAGCAAGTATTTTTCTCACTGACCCTCTGACAACCTGTTTTAACAAGGAGATACGCAGAACAAGATACTCAGCGTTAGGCGAGCGAGTTAACATCGCTGCGCTCTGCTAGACTGCAGCTTGCAAAGGGAAGGGTGCTGCCACCCTTCCCAGGCAAAACTGGTCCTTGGGTTTCTACCCCCAGGCAATTTGAAGATCTAGCTGAGGAAGAAAGGTTCAGTTTGGAACACGTTACTTTCAAGTTGTGGCACATCTTCACAGCAACAGCCAGGTTGCAGCAGTCCTGGTAGGTGAAGTTAAAGAGGTTCCACTCAAAGTTCATGCCGCAGTCCTTCACGCCGTAAGTGAGATGAAGCTCTTCAAGGTGAGGGAGAGCAGTAATGAGGACTCCCAGGTCGTAGTGATGCACGGAGACCTCACTGAGCCCGAATTCACTCCCTGTATCAGAGAGGTCATCCCTCTCCTCCTTTTGATCCACCTTTACTGGTGGCAGGAACTGATCAACCTCCAGTTTCCGCACATAGTCTTTGCAGAGCGGGATGAGCTCTAGGACCTGGTTGGGGTCTGTGGTGTTAGGGATGAAACGTTTCAGGATGTTCTCCAGGTGACGTTCAAAGAACATCCGTTTCCAGCTGTCTCCATAGTTGGAGATGTCACACACTTGCCAGCGCTCAGTGCAGCACCTCTTCCAGTAGTCCTCATCGCTTATTAGGTTGGCAGTCACGGTGAGCGGAAGGCCAGTGGAGAGCCTGTCCAGCACCTTCCTTTGGTGCTCAGGCAGAAGACGTTCCAAAATAGGGTTCTCTGGAGGGGAGGAAGAGGAAGAGAGGTTGGTCTGGGCTGTAGGAAGCATGGCTGGCACTATGGTTCTGCCCAGGCCCCCAGCTGTGTGCCCATGCCCTCCGCTCTGCTGATACTGGCTCTTTTCTCAGTTGCCCCAGGTGCAGGGAGCTAAGGTGGCAGAAAATGTGTAGGATTCATCTCCTACGCTTCTGTGTAGGATTTCTAACTTTTGCAATAAAACATCAGTGTAATTGGGTTTACTCCAATAATATTTGGGAACTGCATCAGAAACTTAGCTCCCAGTTTCAATTTAGTTTGAATGCAGTTTATATTCAGAGCAGGTCTTTGGCTCCCAAGAGACCTAATTCAGCCTGACAGCAATGGGAGAGCTTGGCTTGGCATTTACTGAACTTTCTCCCTTTGGTTTCTAAGCATATTGAAGGACAATGTTTGAGAAAACCAGTCTGTGTGCTCTTCATGCAAGTCCTCGTGCCTTTTTGTCTTAACTTGGGTGTCTGTCTTATACCAAACTGATTCCATTCCTTTCCACTAAGGTACAGTCTTAGCTTTTAGATCCACCTTGTTTAAATAAAAGTTCTCTTTTCCCAGGAGCTTTCTCCCCTCAGTTTCTTTCCTGATGCTTGTCGTAAGTCTCAGCTGGCTTCTGTCTCGTGGAAGGTCTTTGTGGTAAGAAATACCAGAGAAAAGCCATGTGTACTCACACCATGAATGCTTGATGACACATACATGGTAGTGTTGAGTAACAGAAATCATCAGTGGAGAGGACTGTCTGCACATGGGAAATTGGATTTTGAGACACAAAATGGGGTTAGCTTTATATTTCCTGCCTCTGTGGCATTTCCTTCCTAATGGCACCCAAAGTTCTACCACAGCCTTTTCCTGCCTGGAGTATCTTCTCCAGTGTCCTAGAGCCGGCACTGCAGTGACGTTCTCTGCGAAGTCCCACAGCACAAGCAGAGGTGGGACACGTGTGAGCAGAAGTGGGCTGGCGTCACTCCCGCTCACTCAGGCAGCACCAGTGGGCAAGGTGCAGCTGCGTCGCTCAGGTAAGAGTAGGAGGTCCCCAAGACACTGAGCACACTGCTTTTACACGCACGCAGCGTAGGTCCAATCCATTTGTCATTGGACTGACTGACCAGGCTGAGAGGACTGTGAGGGTCTCCCAGCTCAGACCCCCAAGTACCATCAGCTCCTGGCCTAAGGCAGCACTGAGCTCCTCTGTACTGTCTTACAGTCCCAGTGTGGACATAGCCTTAGACCTGTCATTGGTCTTTGCTGCCACTCCACTGAGTCAGCCAAAAAGACAGATAGGCCCTTTCTTTCCCCCTCCCAGTCAGTTCCCAGGTGAGACATGCTTTTTCTGTTTTGCTACGTTTCATCACTCCACCTGCTTCCAAAGTACATTCCCTGCCCGCGGATGTAACTTGTCACAGCACCACCATGGAGAAGCCCTGAGACTGGGAGTCCAATACGTATCTGAGATGGTAGCTCCTCTGAGCTGGGAGAAATTCTCCATCTCTTTGTACAGCACTCAGCACAACGGGGCTCCATCCTTGAGTGCTACTGTAACACGTATGTGAATCAAGAGAAGGAAACAGCGACTCCACAGCCCCGGCCACGGTTGAGGTAAGTAAGTCCAGCAGAGCATAGAAGGAAGAAGAAACGATAGGACAAGGTTAGGGCAGAATTACATCCTGGAGAGCAGCCGAGAGGACTACAGCCATCCTTGGAGTGTATAAGTACATACTTAGCAACCAAACAGTTTGTTTAACTGGCTGCCTGAGGGGATATTTCTCCCCATCTGTTCCTTTGGCAGGGCTGGGTACCGCACTGTGCCTTTCAGATGCATCTGCCTGCCTTGTTGACCCTCTGCTCCCCAGGACTGACACTCCCTCTCCATGTGTCCCGGGGACAACGCATTCCCACTTACTTTCGAAATTGTGAACGATGTGCTGGAGGCAGAGCTCAGTGAGGTGGGGGACAGTGGCGAGGGACCACTCGGGATCCTCAATGATGCGGTGTGTATAGTGCAAGTCGGCAGCGAGGCTGGTCTGGGACGGATACAGCGAGGGAACGACTGTGC